ATTTGTAAGGAGGAGCTTACAATGAACGGAATTCCCATGCAGGGATAAGGATATGGTTCACCAAAAAATGGTAATTCACATGACAAGGAACATACTTGTGAGAAGAAAACAGTTCTATAATCTGAAGGCTGCTAAACATGATGGGAACTTTTAGATTAGCTATTTGGAGTAAGAATAATTGAGATAAAGATTAAAGTGCGAATTAAGTTTGGGAATGTGAAAATTAACGGAAACATTGCAAATGATGAATCATTAAGAAGAAATCTTTAGTATAATTATTTAGTTTGGTTATGTGATAAATATTGAATTGAAACTAATTTCGAGAAGTTTCGAGTTTGTTCTCGACACTTTCTTCTCAGACCTCTTTCAGAAAACAAATAATTGTTGCGAAACTTTTTTCTACTAGAATTAAAACTATGAAAAAGAATTAGTTCAATAGTAGACACTCTGAATGATCATAGCGTTACTATGCTGAAAGCTGGAAAATCTCAATTTGAAAAGACTTCCTATAATCGGGATTGTATGAGGGGAAAGTTTCTATTCAACAATCCAGATTCATTTCATCTTATTCTCTGAAGTAAATGTCAACTTGTATAAAAGTCAACTCACGGCCAACTTACTTCTTGCAAACGCATAAAATTAAAAATAAAATGGGAAATCAGAAATAAATACATTTGTTTCATTATAAATCGCTCTTTTACTTCCCAGAAACGCATCAGATTGGAATTATAAAGGGTGTGAGTTCAAATTTAAATTCGAATATATCTAAAGAAACGAATAATTGACCATAAATTTTCGGGGAAAATATATTTCCTCTTTTATTGTTTGCTTTTATCAGTTAATTATAAATATAAATGTCATATAATCGAGTTTACAGATGTAAATAAAAATGTAATGTCATGGTCTTCCCTCGGTCTCTTTTACAAGCTCTTTTTTTTTATTAAATGTTTTAAGAAAATTCATTTCTTTAGGATAGAATGACTTTTCAAAGGTTGCTAATAATGGTCGTTATTTTTCTCTCACTTGACCGTTCCTCATTATCAAGTTAATTATTTGCAGAGCAATTTAATCCTTCTTTTCACCAATTAGATTGAGCGAAATAAATTTAACCATTTGATAGCTAATTATTCTATTAATTTTCACCTAATCATTATCGGAAAAAAATAAAATGAACTTTAGGTTTTTGTTTCAGTAAGCCAGCACGGTTTGATGTTCAGTTTATCGACCACATGAAACTGACATATTTTAATGCTATTAATAATTGTTTAAAGTAGGTTTATCTTTCTCCAGTATTAGTAATGCTTTACTTTTTCCGACCGGATCTGATTCCGTTTCAATTTCCATATTCACTTTAACATTGGTAGCCTTTAATTATTTTTGAAAAGGATAAAACTAGATTTCGTAAAACAAAAAAAGTCTACTTATTTTTTTCAAATTATTGAAGGTGAGAGTAAAAACATGCAAAAAATGGTCAAAACTGACAAGGATACCCATAAAGATGTGAAAAAAAGTGGTAGGTTCTTTGGAAATTGCAAAGATATAAACTTTTGGTTATAAAAAGTTTTTTTGAAATTTGTGAAAATGAACCTTTATTGTGAATTACAGAATAAGTTAGCCTCAAAGTTAGCTTTATTTTGAAAACTAACATTCCATAGAATATGTTAGAAGGGATTGGGAGTGCTATTTATTAGCTTGAAAACAACTCTTACTTTTCCATTTATTTTCTGTCAAGTGGAATTCATTTATTTTAATATTTGCAAAATGTTCCTCATATTGACCCTACAGAAGGAATTTTCAATCATATTCGTCGTTTCATTTTCAATTTTCTTTCAGCTAATTGGTCTATATGATATTTTTGCATGTGAACTGAATTATTTAAACTTTACCCTCACTGTTGCACGCTAATAAAGATAAGCGGAAAGTTTTGAAGATGACAATTTTATCGGAAGTTATCGTAACTGTAACAAAAAGTGGTGAAAATCATTGCGTTGAGCAATTGAATATCAGTAAAAGGAATAAAGATTAGACAGAAAATAGTGCAATCTTTTTTCGGATATATTCCATTGTTATTACTAATTTTAATTTTACAGGCAAAGAGAAACCTGCAGAAAAAGTAAGTTTACTTTCATATCTGTTTTTTTTCATTTTGGAAGAAAAATTTTTAATGCCCATTCATTTAGAAATTGAACAAAAGTAAAGTATCAAATGAGCCTCTATCGAACAATATGCTAAAAAAGACAGAGAATGAAGTAAGTTGTTATTTTCATTTTCATCCTATCAATACTTCTTTGTCTTTTTAAAATTTTACAATTACCATTTAATGTAAAGTACCTTACTGTTGACAAACAACATGGATGTTCTGTTAATTTCGAGAAAAAAAAGATGTTCTGTTAATTTCGAGAAGAACAAAAATATTACTCATTTTGCATTTGGTAAATTTCACATAAGCTCTTTTTTCCGCTTTCTCTACCAATCCAACAGCTAGTTATTATTATATTTTTAATACACCGTAATTTCGGCAATTGTCTGATTTTAGGGTAACAAAAAAATAATAAAATAGTCAATGGAAAGTATCATACTTATCATTTTTTTCAGCAATTATCAGTAAAGACTTCATTATTGGAAACTTCCAAAATGATATTTAATATTGGTAAGTAACTCTCTGAGAATGTTTGCTTTACAAATTAAAATTTCATTTGTTTGTTATTTTTGTGCTAAATGATAATAATATCCATTCAACTTAGTGATAAGTCATAATTAATTAATTTTTAGCAATTTATCTAACCAATATTTTCCACGGTCTGTTTTAAAATTTGAAGAGAGAAGACGAATGAGAATTGAATTTTTACCTTTTGGTTTGTATCGATCATTTTACAATTTCAGAATTGATAGACTCAGCACATGGTGGAAAAGTAAAATAGGGAAAACAAATTGTTTAATTTTCATTGATAAATTACAACAAATGATTATTTGAATCTTTCTTATTTCGTCGCAAGGGCAAATTTGCTTATTGCAGTAGAGATAACGCAAGATAGCACAATGTATTCTCAAAAATCTTCAAATAATAATATAATTAATCAGGTAAGTGAGATCTTTTATACGTTCGAAATAGATTACTTTTTATAGCTTTTAAATTTCATAAAATTTCGACTTGATTTCACATATTAGTGCTAATATTTAAATGCTGAAATTTATAGTGCAAAACGATAGCACCGCCACTATCAAAAAATGAATGCAACACAGACACAGGAACTTTAACAGGTCGGAATATTGAGTAATTATTAATTTTATATCTTATTTAGTTTTTCTAATATAATATACTAAAAATTATCACAACATAATCGCCGGGAATAGTTTATTTTTAGAACGATTAAAGTTATTTTGCAAATAATTTGATGATGAACTTTTGCAAAACGAATACTTTTGCCTAAAAATTTCGCAAACAATGGAAATAAGCCAAATTAAACTATGCCTATATATACTTGCCAAACACTGAGCAATTTTTCTTCACAGTTTCAATGTATATCTGATATGTATAGTTTATTAAGAAAGCAATTTATTCATAATATAGTAATTCATTAAAAAAAATTCATTTAAATAACACTCACTCAGTACTTCAATATTCAATAGTAATTCATTTAAATAACACTTTAATGATACCGGCAAGTCTATAGAAGTAAAACAAAAAGAATGGGTGAAATAGATTGTTAGGCCAATTTTAGAGTGAATTTCTAGAGATGCGTTTACTTTTTAATATTCAGAATAACAAGTTTGTTTTTCCTCCTGTTTGAGAGACGGAAAAATTGAGAGCTTTATGGGATTCAATTTTGATCGTCGCTTTCTTAATAAACTATACATATCAGATATATTCATAAGAATTCATTAAATAGCATAAGATGTAATAGTTATTATCATTAAGATGAACAAATATTTTAAAACATTATTCATAAAGAAAAAGACTCAAATAATTTTCAGGTTCTTAAGACTTACATTAGATAATTAATCAAATCTCTAAGCATTAGATAATCAATTAAATTTTTCAAATAAATAATCTTAACTTCGTATTTACGTTTTGTATTACCATTGAAGTTGTTGCAGATCATTTTTCTTCATCTTTTATTCTTTTAAATTTCAAATGCAAATTTTTAAATTTATGGAATGATTAATTTAAGAAACAGCAAAAATTGGTCCATTTGCGGTAATTAAAGAAAATATATTGAAGAAACAAAGAGATTTCGCCAGTGTCGATGAATCTGAGGATGCATTACCATCCTGAATGTTACATTCTTTTTGCACAATGCTAATTTATAATTAATTTATATAATGTTTTTTTATTCCTTTTTTCCTTCTCCATTTTCTTTTTGAATCTTTGCTACCTTTGATTTGCAAATTATGTTTTTTTTTTTTAATAAAGAATAATACAATTTAATGGGTGTAGCATCTACATTATAACAGTTTGCTGTATGCATACAATGACATCACGTTACAATAGTCAGTAGAGATCCACGTCATTTGAAATCCTTATTTTGTCTTATTCTACTGTTATTTCGAAAACAACAAAAGCAGAATCCAATTTCATACTCATTTGGTATGCATTGTAATCGGGATTGATAAGATAGTATCAATGTTAAAGCAAGCAAGATATATGTTTCGAAAGTTTCAAAATAGGTTGAAAAGATATTATAGCGTGCATTGACTTTTTGAAATTAGAATCAAATCAATAGCTTTTTAAATGCAATGTTTTTGACTCGCTGAATCAAGACAATTAGATAAACTAAAGATAAGTGTACCTGTTAAGATCTAATTGAACTGAACTGATTGCTGATATATTTTAGAGAAGCTTTATTATAACTTCTGTACACAAAACAGTATCATCCCTGTTTGTACTTTACCAGCAATTTGTTACATTTTTAATACATTAGTGCATAACAAGAAATTGTAATAATAACTCTAGAAAAATGCTAATAGTGTATGATCTAAGAGATCGGGATTTATATGTGATGTGAGAAAGATTTTAACGCTCTTTTCATAGAGGTTAATAAAATAATGGTTGCGACAGATCATGATGTCGGAGCATTCTTGAATGTAAAATATTAAACCAAATTTGTCGCAGCAGTTGTTCGTTTTGTTCATGTTCAGAACGTTTCATATAACTCGGTGGTGAAATTTCCTTAGCTCGTGCATCACGTGGCACCGTTATTGGATCATCTAACCTGTAAAATATCACTCATTTTCTTGAATAAAACTTTGAAACATTTTCTTTCTAAATATCATTTCCACTGTTTCGAATTACATTGTGCATACGATAGTTACGCCTTAAAAAAAGCGTAACATGATAAGCGTGTCCAAGACACTTATATGTAGAAATTACCTTCTCTTAAGGTTAGTATGATGATTAGTTTACACTACATCTACTGTATTTCTGGAAATTGTAACAATTATTACAAAAATATTAACAGAATATAGAATACTCATTTTAAGCATTACATATTTATTCCACGTTTAATGATGTGAACTATATTGGAAGTATATGAATTATACTAGATTAAATCTCAGAAATAATTAAACCAAACCCTTCGTTGAATCGCCAACTAAACGTGTGAACGAAGCGTACGTCAAAAGCAATGACGATGAGAAGTATTGTAAATGTTAGGCGCATTAGGATCGATGTCATACGGCAGTGTTGCTCGTAATGTTATTTCCTGATCTCAACACTGTTTCCTGTAATCGATTTCAGATAATGAATTGATTTAGTAGTCCGTAGTGATATCACGTTTCACGCTATTCATTTATTTAACGATTCTAAATTTATTAACTTCAATCTCATCTAGTTGTCAAGTTTATTGAGTAACTTGAAGTGATAATGGAAATTTAGTTAAATTCTTATTGAAAGATTATTTATTTGCTTCGCAAATCATATAACAGCGTAATGCAATGGCGGTGTACAAAAAATGTTTAAATCATGCTCTCATATAATAATCATTAATCATTAAATCATGCTCATATATAATAACAGGGCTTAATCACGTAAAAAGGGGGATTATCATGTAAAGAGAAAGAATGGATTACTCTTTCTAGGATATTATTAAAAGATTCAACGATTATAAACAGTGAAATGAACATGAAAATAAAATAAAAGTAGGATAAGAGAAGTGCAATGAAGAAGTTAATTCGCTCAATTTCAAGCGCTCAAAAAAAATATGTTCATCTGAAAAAGGAAACGATATTTCGGAATAGATACTTACTCTTTCTCACTGCATGCAAGAGTAACATGCAATTTGCATCGTTTAGACTTTTCCGATATGAACAATATCATTGTTTACATTAGCTAATTTAAATGCTTTTCATTATTTTTAAATACATATTCGTTCACTGTAATATTAGGAAAAACATCGATGTTTTTGCTCAAATCGATATATCTTTTACATACGTGAATACAGTAACATAACTGTCAATATGTTATTCAAATCTTAGAAAGTAATTTTTAACCTGTGATGACAATTTTTAAAAAAAATGAAAAAGTTTTCCGATAAGTTAAAAAAATTACAACCTGTTTTAAATAAATTTTTTATAATCGTTTATTATCATTCGTGATAAAAAAGTTCGCTTTCTTCCTTCCTGCTCATAGATCTGACTTGTTGTTGTTTCAAAATTATGGAGAGATTCAAGAATATTTCCCTAAATTGGTGCCTTCTGGAAAATGTAGCATCATTTTTCTATCTTTAAATTTCTAAAGACACTTAGATCCAAAATAAAAAACAAAAAAAAAAACTATGTAAAAGTTGATCCCATTGTTTAGTAACAGGCAAATAACTTTGAATTCTCTACAGACCAGTTTATTTTAATCAAAATTTTATTTTTTTTTTTGTCCATTAACACTACGTTGTCCATTAATATTAAATTTTTTTTGCAAAGAAAGAGAACTTTTAACTGAAAATGCCTTTGCTATAAATCAAACATGTAAGTCTCGAATCCATAGAACTGATAAAAATTGACTTGATATATGTGCATTGTGTGAAAACAATTATATTGCAATCTTCTAACACACCTGCCAATCATTAATTCATTAGATGAAGCAGACAGGTGAAAACATTTCCCAACAATATCATTTTCAAATTTATAACAAAAGAATATTGCCATATAGCAAAAGATGATGATCACTTTTAGGAAAAGCACAATGTTGAAATAATAACTTTTGTAGTGTTAAAGAAGTAGGCGATTGTTAAAAAGCTCATGGAGTTGTGCACTTTTTTATTGGTCATTCATTTGAAAATCAGCAAAAATAATACAGCTAATGAAATCTTGATAATTAGGTTTTTTAATGAAATTTGAACTTTTAGAAGTACTAGAAAGAGAACGTCTACAACTCACAAGATCTTCTTGAAAGAACAAAAACAGTCATTTGTGTATTCAAAGAAAGATGCTATTTCAAAAAATTGATGTTACAGTAAAAAATTTTTCACATAGAGAGATAAGGTAAAATTTCATTCTATCATTTTAATTTTTTCATAATTTTAACACAAACAACTTTTGTATGTGTGTTTCTAACAAGTTTTCATTGTACAACTTCATTTCAAACAGAGAAAAAATTGAGTAATTATTGACAGAGCTGTGAAATATTTTGATAGAGGGAAACACTGAATGGAAGAAAACAATCAAAATAGATTTGTCAATCTATCTGAATTTCATTAAACTTTATTCAGTACTACATATTACGAACGATTAAATTTGATATTTAAAATTTAACAAATAGATTCATCATTTCAAAATTAAAATGAGAAAATTTTCAATATTTGAAAAATATGAATTAATTAATATTTTTGAGAGGCAATACATACCAGACCTCTTTTCAATGATATGCTAATTAATCCTATTGCTGTCAGTTATTTTCATCGCTATAGTCGATATGAAGAGAATCTCACTCATAATCAAACCGATTTCTTTTGCCATCAAATGACTAAGAGAGAAACCATTTAGTTTGCATTTGGAAAGATTCAAATGAAAACAGTAAACATTATGTACATAATATCATGACATCATCGACAATAAAATAAATTAGCAAACATGGTAAATAGGCAAAGCGAAGTTTTTTAATAATAACAAACTAAATTTCAACATCAGCACCATCCTTTAAAATGTTGTTTCAGGTCATCATTACCATCATTTATGCTGCAATCATCAGCAAGTGGCGGAAATAGCATTAATCGTTAGTGTCTTGAAGTTTATCGGCCCATATCTCAAATTTCGAAATTAAGAAAAGCAATAGCAGTAACAAACAGCATTAAAATGACATCGGTTGTGACAAAACGCCCATCATTTCCGAATGCAATCAGAAATGCCTTGGTTAGCGTGACTTATCATTTCTATCTTTCAGTTATTTATTCATTTAACTGAGATTCTAAGCAAATTCATTCCTCAAAAGATATCCCAAATTGCTTCTTTCCCGTATGAATTGAGTTTCAGAAACCGCTGTAACTCTACTCGATATTACTGTTATCATCGCAATGACATTTTCAGTTAACTCATCAACCAATAAAATGAAAAATTAAACTATACATTTGTCAAAAAATCTAATACGATAATAACAGTAATATTAATTGAAGATCAGAGAAGCTGTAACATACAAAATTCGAAATCCTTTTCAAGTTTTATTGAAAATTCCAATTGAATTTCAGCCAACTCGTCAACAAATAAAATGAAAAATTGAGATGTCTGATAGTTTAATTTTAAAATATGCAAAAGTAGGGATGGCAAAAAGTCAAAATTAGGCTAAGGACCTGCACAAATTTCGAAGATTTCAAAGAAATCGAATAGATATTACTAAATGTTCTAAATTATTTCCTCAATTACTAGGTTAAAGTGCACCTTGCATAGTAAGCTTCTTTTACCAATTAGCATAGAATCATTTGTGGCAAAAGGTTACGTTATTGGCATGAAACGATCACTGACTGCCACGACTGGATAGACATAGCAGTAAAGGATAAGATACCGTAGTCTTCTCAATGCGTTGGATATGTTTTTTTTTTAATGTTATTATAGAACGATAGGCTTTTTGGTTTCACGTAAACTTCACATTCACGTTGTTCCCATCAATCCACAGCAAATAATGAGCGAACCGTATTGAACAATTACTTATCCGACTCTCGAAAACGCGATCATTTGAAATACGATGGAATACATGTCACTATACTGCAAAATAACGGACCGCGGTAAGGTCCATTAAATGCTTCACTAACTTTTTATTGGTCGAATTTGCAATGAAGTTTGATTTGGGAAGGACTTTACTTTTTTCTCTCTGCTTGTTCGCGGTAATCTGTCAGTCAGTTTATTATAGAGAAATTGGTTCATATGTGGGAGTAATTTCAATAATGAAATACTGAAACTTTTGAAGAGAGACTACAAGTGGGAAAAGACTGCGGGAAACTCAAAGACACTATTTTATATATTCACTGAGTCCACTAATTCAGTGGGTTCACTGAATTAAGGCAGGAATATATAAAGTAATATGTTTATCGTAGTCTTCCTTCGAAGTTTCAATAATCCTGAATTCGTTTACATAGTCTGGACTTCAATCTATCTGTATTGACCTTGAAGTGGATGTTTAGCAATGAGAAAGGAATATGCTTCTTGCTTCTTGAATCCTGTGATTAGTAACCATGTATTAATGTTCAGGATTCTGCTTACTTCCGGTATCATAGAAAAATCTAGAAATGATATGGAGGAATCGGTGAAATTGTCTATAGGTATTTTCTTGTTTTCCTTTTTCCCCACTTTGATGATTAGCAATGAATCTTGTTGCAGCAGATAGTAATTATCTAACTGCTTTATACTATTTAATGTTATTTTAAATTTATATTTATTACACATTTTTACTTATTTTTGGGGGTTCTCTGACGAGCAATGATAAACAGTTACTCGAAATTGCAAGTGATTCGGAGCATTCTAGCGATGAAAGTGCTTTAGAATCAAGGAATATTGGTGAAAAACACAGGGCGTTAGTTTCAAATTTATTTTTCATGTTTTCATTTCATGCAAATTTTTTATTTGAATTTTTTTCTAAATTTAAAATAAATTAGATGGTGTTTTGAAATTAACCTAAATAATTTTTTTCAGCATACTGCATATTGATTTAGAAAATGAAGAAAAGGCACAAATAATTTGCAGAACCTTAGCAGTGGACAAAGAACCATCGAGGAGTACAGCCAAACGCACATATACCGTACGAGGGCATCATTTGGTTGTGTAAGCTGTTACGCTCAGCTCTTTCTCTATCTAAAATTTCGATCTCATTATCACTGTAACAAATAGTTATATGATTCATCTTGATTGTTCTATTCTTCAGATTATTTAAATATCTCCTTTTTCATTTCTCATGATGTTATAAATATATAATTAATAAAATTTGAAATTTTAGTGAGATCGTGAGTTTGGATGCTAAATATCTTCAGAAGTCGATCGACAATTTGTTCGACATGTGCTATTTAGCTAAACAGACAATTGAGGAAGTTACAAGATATGACTTAAAAATGTCTAATAATGCTACTACATCTCTTGACAGAAGTGAGAAAAGCAGAGTTAATAATCCGTCGTGAATTGTATGCATTCTGAAAATAGATGCATAATTGTTAAAATTTCAGTTGTTCCAGTATTATTTGTTTAATCCTATTTGATTGTTGTGGAGTGGAGATTCTTTTTTGTACCTATGATGTATATATTTTTCCAATTCAGCCAGGATGTCACTTAAATTTCGGAATAAAATTATCAGTTTTGTTTATGCAGATCCTGTCATTATTACGAAGTTATAAATGCTCTTATATAATAACAAATAAAATATTTTCTGCGAATAATTGCAAGGTTCATTTTCTTGGTGTTTCCATATTTTATGTGAAGAAGTACTTAAATAAAAAAAATTGCGTAGTGATAAACTAGTTCTGGAATTCTTAAAGTATAGGAATAAACTAATAAAGAAAATGCAATCTTGATCATATGAAATTGCACCACAACACATGCTGAAAGTTCATGTCTCTTGTTGTCACGCGACGAGTACAATTGAAGAGAGGAATGCTTCAAAATGATGAGTGGAGCTTTAAAAATTTCGTTTAATATTAAAATTTGAGGGATTGAGTGAAGCGAGCAAAACTTCACAAAAAGAAGTAATTGATTGTTGAGATTAGTGAAATCAGCTATACACCAATGCCTGTTGCAAATTTGGAAACTCATGTTATCACGGTATTTAGCGTACTCTTTCTTTCGTTTGAGGTGGAGAAATTGGACATGTTCAAAGGACTGAAATTAAAGTTGGAAGATGAAGCGAAGAGATTACAAGCAACAGTATCACAATACAGCGAAAATATTGCCCAACAAGTACGGTCCGGTGTGGTAAGATCTTTCTATACTTGCAAATACACTGTAGAATTATATTTTCTGATGTATGTGGGTGGAGGAAGAAATGATTATTAAAATAGTTCATGTGCTGTTACTATTCTACACTGGGAATTTTCCATTTTAAACTAAAGACAATTTATTATTTAGGCCTTAAGTTACTTTCATCCATAATCAATTTTATTTAATGGCAGAATAAACAGAAGAATTTCTTGAACTGAGGTTGGAATGGGAAAACTTTCTACATAGATAAGTTGCAGTTGATATCTTTTCAAAATTTCTTCACCAGTAAAAAAAATTTTTTAGAACGATGTTGGAAGTGATCCAAGTGGACAGGCGCGACGACTACTCAATAGTGGTGCGATAGTGATGCGATCACTCCATTCTCCAAATCTTCTCGGTGATGAATCTGGAAATGATTTCGATAAAGAACAGATGGTAATGTCATTTATTATTTTCATATTTTTAAAAAAAAGATTGATGGAAGTTTTCTAGAATGAACAGAATCCTAACAGTTCGGCTATGATGCAGGAAATACCAGAAGAAGATTTGCTCGGTGAATCGCGACACCGACACAATTCAAGTAGTTCTTTTGGAAGTGAAAGGTTGTCAATGTTTTATTGTAGCATTTTTCACAATCTTTATAAATTTTCCCGAATGTAGCTCTGGCTCATCAAATCAAACATGTAAATAGTTTTAAAAACACTAAAGTACCACCGTAGACATTTAGTTAAATTATTGAGTGGTACATTCCAGCTCATTCAGTAATTTGTTTTCTGCTATACCGGGGATGTTAAGTTCCGGTCATCGGCTCAACACAATAACATCAGATGTGGAGAGTGAAAGTATGGCTACCTCATCCCAGTTTCAAAGTGCTTCAAAAGAACAGGTTTTGTAAAATCAAGTCTTTTTTCTCCTTACTTAGATCGAATAAAAAATTTTCAAAAAAACTAAACTGGAATTCCAAACATTTTTTAAATACGATACTGGCAATATCATAAATCTGTTCATCTCTGTCAATATAATGTCAGTATAATCTGATTCTATTGAAAATGGTTTATCGTCATTTTTATTCTAATGAATCACAGACAAAAAGAGACACTATAGTTAATTTCAGATTTCAACTGTTCTACATAAATTGCAAGGTCGTGCGGCAAGTTACAAGGATAAATATCGAAGACTTATACAAATGTACAATGAATTGGTGCGGGAAAATGAAAAGTATCGGGTGAGAGCGTTCATTTTTGTGAAAAAATTAAAAAGTACATTTATGTAAAAGAAATTTCCTTCAAAAAAAAATCTTCGTAATTAAAAAAATTTCTTTGAAAATATCTTTCTAATTAAATCTGATAAGATCAGTATTATTTCATTTTACAGAAGTTATAGGCTTTGTTGTTATAGTCTGTGTTGTCATCCACGCAGGATAAAGCACTTGATAGAATTGGTAAACTGCGAGAAAAAAATCGAGAGCTAATAGAAAGGATGCAAGAAATGGAACTTGATAAAAAAAACAAGGCATGAGTGTCTGGTTAATATTAATTAGGAAGATACTGGCGGTGACTAAAGAAACTAACATAATAGAGTCTTCTTGTTTATTTATAACTTCTGATCATGTTTAAATTTGTTCAGGCTTTAATTTTTATAGTGCAATTAGTAGAGTTTTGAATTAAATGATGCTGTTGGAGACGGAAAAGATAATACAAAACTATTCGTAGAATACCAAAGAGGACGAAGCAAGAGAAAGTAAGGTGAAGGAATTGCAAGAATTGGTGGAAAAATGTCACGCAAATATAAAGGAAAAGAAGGAAAGAATTCGACAACTAACAGAAGAAAATGAGAGACTTAAAAAAAACATTGAAACATCTTATGACGAAGTAAGCTAGTTTTAAAAAGTTGTTTAGACACCATTCAAGTAAATTTGATTGCTCCTTACTGTGTATAGTTGAAATGTGGAATTAGTGTTAATGGATTTTCGATCGAATCATTTTAATATTTTCCCTTTATTTCATTTTGTTATAATTTTATTATTATCAACTAAACTAATTTTTTGATTCCCATTCCGGTATAAAAAAATAACGGCTGAAAAAAATAGCAGTTTTCTAATAGTAAGGTTTTCTTATGCTTGGAGTTGTGATTTCTTTCATAATTTACTCGTTCTTTTAGAAGACCGTATGCTTTAGAAAACTGCTGCTTATACTTTAGAGTAATAAAGTTCAAGCTCATCAGATTATTTTACGGAATAGATTATTTTCTGTTCTGATTTCATGTTTTGTATCAATTTAAAAAACAATTGCAAGGAGTTGTTTAAATTGTTGCAGCAAGCAATCAGCGATTTAGCCGTCAGACGAGTTACTGCTGAATGGAAAGCTCGTGTGGATTATCTGGAAGAAGAATGGTCTAAACGCCTTTCTAATTCCGAAGAAGCGTTAGTATTATGGTTCACATAAATAACTGGTATAAATCGTGTTATAATATATTTGCAGTAATGACCAGTAATATTGCAGCGGTACACTTGCAATAGCCAAGGTAAAGGCAGAAATGCATAGAGCTTTAGAAGAGAAAGATGCTGAACTACAAGTAACCCGGGCCAGATGTAAGTCTCTGGAATTGAGTGGTTCGTTTTTTTTTTTTTTGTATAATTTACCAAACTTAGTTTTTTATGTTCAAATAATAACGTTTTTTTTATTCAGTATTCAAATAATAACAGTTTTTCAAAGGATACAAATTTGATCTTTGTGTATAGATAACTCAGCATTCTTCAGCTTTTATTTTTAAATGTTTCAGAGATTGTTATAAACTTAACAAGAAACGTAGGGCAAGAGAATTTTCATTTTTAAATAGATGCTTAGGAAACTGAAGTTTCTTTTTATATTTTTTCATTCCTGTTATGAACAGATTCTTAAAAATACTTAAAAACGTTTCTACCGTTTCTACATCTCTTCTGCTTGCGATTTTATCGACAAAAAAGCTTTGTACAAACTGAGAAGATACATTCCTCATACTTATCATTAAATCCAAACACCTGGATCTCAGTATTATCAGTAAGTTGAAAGAAAACCTTCCTACTTCCTATTTTTTAGGAACAGAAGTACAAGGGCAAATTGATGAGTTGAAGGCAGCCGTCGATGCATTAGAAAACGAAAAAGCAGATATGGTAGAGAAGTTATCGGAAGCAAAGCAACAAGGTGTTAAAGCAGTACGATGCGAAGAAGAGGAAAAACGGCAAGAACTAAGAAGGGAAATGGAAAGAAAGCGAGCTGAAGAAAGAGAGGAGGACGGACGACTTTTTCAAGAAATGATCATGAAAAATGTATGTTTTTCATTTTATTTATTACTTAAGTGCAAAATTTATTGTACTAGTGCTGGTTCATTTCCGCATGGTTTCAATAATAAGTAAATTTATTATATCCAGTCATGCCGTTTCAAGTGTATTAGGATCATTTTTAATATAAATTATTTGAAATAATCCCAAGACAAAAATTTCAACAGTTATGAACATCCTACTCAGGATGAACAATGGGCTTTGAAATTTAAAGAACAAGAAGAACAGATGCAGTTGGCCATCGAAGAACGAGAAATGCAAAAAGTAGCAGCTGTAATGGAACATGATCGAAAGAATGAGAATTTAGGCGTTCAAGTAGAGCAGCTCACTGCGGTTTATTTTTCGTTTTGTAGTAGGCTTCAACATGCAAACTGAATGATGTTTTTACATTGACTTGGTAGGGCGTGCCATATTTTTTACTTATCATTTATTATTTAGGAAATCATATAATCAAGCAAAGCAATTTTACTATTTAGATAAGCTTATGACCATTTAATAAATTTTCAGGAAAAGTTACATTTGAAATCAGTTTTGGATGATATGAAAGAAAGACACCGACAGCAAATGGAAGAACTATGTATTTCTATTGAAGCCAATAAAGAAAGGCATCAACAAGAAATTAATGAAATCAAAAGTAAAGAAGAAGAAGTTCTGGCTACGCTCAAGAAAGTAAATTATCAGTGAACAAACTACTACTCAGTTCTATGTTAAGCTTTGAAACTTTTGAGATAAAGATGTCTTAATAACATATGGTGCTCAGTATTTCAGGATTTCGAAGCGGCTGTGAAGTCAAACAAACAGTTGGCAGCCGAATTGGAAGGACTGAAGAATAGCAAGCAGAAAGCAGTGGAAGGAGCTGAAAATCGAAATGAAGAACTTATTAGAGAATTAGTGATGGAGCGTCAAGCAGTAGATAATTTAAAGGTATTCAAGTTGTTCAAGCACTTCACTTATCTTCGAAATTATGATATTTTAAATTGGTTTTGCATCATGAAAAGTGCTCAAAATAGTTTAGAACAACTTTCTTTATTAAAAAAATATTTATTTTCTAATTGATACATATCAACTTTCAGAAACAACATACGAATGAAATAAATTTAATGCGCGTGGAGATATCAACACTGAAAGAGAATTATGAAAAAATTTTAAAAGAAAACGATGCAAAAGAAGAATTGATGCAGAAGAACGCTGAAATAGCAGAACTAAAACAAGAACTTCTCGAGTTCAGCCAAAGGTTCTTTGTCATGCTATTTCAAAATAATACATGTTTTAATAAATATACTCATTTTTTAGGAAAAATTACAAAAGCTTAGTAAATTTTTCATGATCTGACTTCAAATTACGTTTTGAACATTAAAATAAAATCTGTAACTAAAATAAAATCGTCTTATATAAATTACAACAGCAGCTCTTTTTTGATTTATTTTATATTAAGGAACAAAAATATCAAAATTTTCTGTTTTTTATCAGAATTTTCAATGTGTGACGCATAAGTTAATCTTGAAGATGCAGTGTCTTTTTGTGTCCGATGGAGACCTGTAGAATACACTTGTCAATCTAATATGCAAATTTTGCGTTGTGAAAGAAGTGTATTCTGTACTTTTTGATGCATTTTACAAATGCTATGAATACTGCTTTACTAACCGTGTTTGTTCTCCGTGACGTATTTTATTGTATTTAATCTTTTCTATATTATTTTTCGAATATGTGGGCTTTCACTTGTTGCTGCAGGCTGTCAAATAAGAAAAAGGAGATGGAAGAACTTTATGGAAATTTGGAGCAAAAAACATCAGCCATTGTGAGTTTGGAATCGGAAAAAGAGATTCTTAATGCCGAATTAGCTTCTACTAGAGAGCTCTCTGAAATCCATCAACATTTGCAGGTTGTTTGTCTTTCTATTATTTTCAATATTTATTTATATTTTGTCATTATAATGTTCCATTGCTAAAGTATAATTGCACACCTTATTTAGCCCTTTAAATTTTATTTCCTTTTTCCCGCATTATTAACATTTTCGTAAATACGCCTTAAATATATTAGGAATGCATTTTCGTTTTTCCAACAAAGGAATGAGTTTACCATTACTTTCATATTTTAATGCTGTAATTTACTGAATTCATCAGAATCTAAATTCCTACAGCAGCAATTAAAGACAGCTCAAATGGAGCGTGATGAAACCGAGAAAAGGTATTCGGAAATGGAAGAAAGAGTTCAGAAGGCTGCACAAGAGCTAGAGGGTTTCATTTTTTTATATTGATAATATTTTCTTTTTTTATTAACAATTTTTGAACTATTTGTTTTGGGCGGCGGAGTAGCAAGAAATATTGAGTGTAGAGTTTGGTTATTGCAGTGGATCGACGAGTTCTTCAGCAAGAAAAACAGCAGTTAGCAAAGGAGAAGCTAAACAAACATCATTGGATTGAAGCAAAGATGAGCAAAAGTGAAGCAGAAGAGATAACCTACAAAGTTCAACAGGTTTATTATGTTTTTTATAACATGAAATTGGATGTTTTCTTCTTGTCAGTCATGGCTTTGAAATGAATGTCTTTGTGTTAAGAGTTTCTAAATTTAATAGTTTTTTTGGTCCATGTTAATTTTTGCTTCTTTATAGTGTTACAGTTTTATGTTTCATTAAATATATCTCAAAATCGTCACATATTATTTTTTCTTACTTATCAGGAAGAAATACAAAAAGCGAACAACGATCTTGATGAGAAGATTACATTGTTGACTGGTGAAAGTGGACAGCTGAAGAATCAAATGGAAAATCAGCAGGCGCAAATTAAGAAGTTGGAAGAAGAAAAACAAGCACTGATTATAGAATTAAAACAGCTGAGGGGAAAAGTAAGTAGTTTCCCTATTAAACCTGAACAATATGGTTTTGTCAAAGAAATTCCCGGAATGCTTCTGGCATAATAAATAAATGTATTTTGAAGAGGAAAATATACCTTATTTAATAATAATTTGATAGAAAGATTATAGGAAGATTTTAAAAATAATGACGAAGGATTAAGGATACTGGTTTGAAAATATTTGAAAATATTTTATTTAATTCATTACATGAGCTTATATTATTGTTATTATTAAGGTTAGAAGATTTTCTGATGCGCAGAACAGCAATTAACTCCACAATAATTTACTGAAACAAAACGAAATAATCGAGTAAATCTCAAAGAGAAACAAAATTTCCAGGTAGAATCAGAATCAAAAGAAAATGATATCTTGAGCGAAAAGTCGAATATTCTAGAACGAGATATGGAAGAAGATAAATGTTTGAAATCGTCAATGGATATTCCACAGCAAAGAATTGAAGCAGTGGAAACACAGCGAGTTTGTTTTCTTTTCACGATAGCATTCAAAGTTTATAGAATCGTCAGATTTAATTTGGAGACAAATTTCTTCAAAGCGTAACAATTTGTAATAAATGCATCATATCCATGCTATAAAGAGTGGAGCAATGGAATAAATGAAATATTCACAGTTGAAATGTGCTGCTATTCATATGTTACGGAGATGACAGGTAGATTTTTTGAGCTTGCGAGCATGGTACGTTTTATTCCTATTTCCAGGATCTAGTTCTTTTGGGAAACATGGAATTGAAACAGTTATGTGTATCTGATAGTAAGGAGCTAGCAAGTTTAAAAGTTAGCAGTCTTGAGAAAGATGAAGTACTTGAAAAGCTTCGAAACAAATTAAATCTGTAAGTTCTTTTAAACAGATGATTTTCTTGAATTAAACTTTTGAATATGGTTTAACGTATTATTTTGATCATAAAAATATAATCTTAATGGAATTAGGTGCTTCAAACCCGTTAAAAATTAACAATCATTATTTTTTCTAAAAATGACAAACGTATTTAAACTTGTTTTTTAGAGTTGAAAATGAAAAATCATCATTGATGGCCAATGTAGAAGCACTGCAAAGAAATCTACAAGAAATTGTGGAAGAGAAGAATAATGTGATGAAGGAGATGGAAGATATAAGTGATAACCGAGATAATTTAAAGATGAAAATGGAAGAAATGGAAACGAATGTTCGCGAAACTCTATGCAAGAAGGATTCAGAAGTAGAGAGGCTGAAAAAAGAATTAAGAGATCAGGTATTCATTCAGTTATCAAGATTTAAATCGTTTTAAAAAATTCTACCTCTGGTAGATATTTTATGAAGATTTGCACTATCAAGTGCAACTTTTTGATCAAATCTTGAAAATCTACCACTGCAATAATGCTCAAACTCTCTAATCCAGCCACTTATTGCATTTTTCCAAAAATCTGATACATAGGTAGAATTTTTTTTAAAAAACATGCAGAGTTTGACAACTACCAAAATTATGACAAATTATTGATACTTTGTTGAATAAGAGTAGGAGGTTGCTTATTTCATTTTTTTTCATTCTGCTGAGTTCATTTGGAGGTTATTTGTCAGCATATGATGTCATCTATTGAGTGATATTTCTGTTAGATTGACGAGGCAAACACTCTGCGGAACGCAGTTGCTATTGCTGAAAATGAACTTAAAAAAATATCATCAAAACTAGATAAAATGATAACGAAGAATGAAGAACTAGAAACAATGAACGAGAGGTTAAGGATTGAATTTCTTCAAAAGGTTTGTTTTTAAATGTTACCATAATTAACTTGTTAAGTGTAAAATTTATAACTAGAGGAAATAGACTCATTTGATCCTTTTAGTTATGAAGTATGCTCTTCACGTCATTGATTATCTTGGTACGATAATTATACATTCAGTGAATGAGAATGATAATGATAATTCTTGCTCTGCATTGTGTTTTGATCTCTAAGCAATTCCATAGATCCCAGTTTTAGAAGAGAATAATTGATTAACAAAATTTCTGCATATTTTCATTTTCCGGACAATATTCTAAAAATAATTGATATGTGGTTTGAGGAGAATATCGTGAGTGAACTACAGAAGAAGATAAAAGAACAAGGAGTGAAGGAGAATGCTGATTTAGAATCACTGAAAAAAAGTTTGGAGGAGGAACAAAAACGACAAATGATTCTGGAAGATGAGCTTGTTGAAACAAAACGAAATTTGGATAAAATGAAGATTGAACTTCAAGAGAGGAAAAGCAATGAGGAATTCCTTGAAACTGAACTGAACATGAAAAGACAAGAGAAGGAAGAAGAGCAAAAGATAAGGTTATGTATCCTCCAAGTTATACTACTATGTTTAACTGATTTTTTAACTTCCAAAATTTGTTTTGGTATGAAATGGATTCCTGCAAACCACTCTAGCTTCAGACAGTAATTAACGATCTTTAGTTAATATAATGTTCATGTTGTAGTAATAACTTTTAGACTTAAAATTGCTTAAAATGCGCATCCTATAGAATGCTCTGAATCTTGCTCTAAAATGACACTCCCATACTTTTTTACATTTTTTGTTATCCAAGAAGTTAAGAGAGAGATCAAAAGGATATGCATAATCATTGTTTGAAAAGTAAGCATGACGTACCAAACTATATTTTATTCTTCAGCCCACTTCAACTCAATGTCGGGACACCTAAAAGTTTTTTTTTTCGTGCTGGCAATTATGATTCAGATAATCAAACGGGAAGTTGCTCTGAAAAGTGAATTCATTTAGATCAGCAAATGAGATTGCAGTTGCTCAGGTTTATTTTTCATTAATTTACTTACAAAATTTAACAAAGGATAAATGATCGTTCAGAAATCAGTATGCTGTGGCACTGAAAAATGCGAACTGCAATTTGGAAGAAGCACAAAAGCAACTGGCTGATTTGGATTTTATACGAATCGAGAAAGATCGCTTTGTTGCTGAACTTTCCATAGCTAAAGAAGAGTGCCAAAAGATCGCACAACAGCTCAAACAGGTGATTAATTGCTTTTCTTTTTGTGATTATTATTTTTATTTAATTTATTTTTACCTGTCGTTTATTTTGCTTTCATAAAACAGAAAGAAATATGATTCTCTTACGTATTCTTTATTATATTTTTCGTGCTTTCGAAAATTCAAGGTCGTTTTACTTGAAGCGAAAGATCTTCAGTTATTTTTACAGTGTAACAGATAATTTAACCAAAATTACAGGAAAATAAACAACCAGCAGAGGAAATAAGGAAGAAAGCGGAACAGAAAGTATTGAAAATGAAGAAACAGTGTGAAACGGATGAAAAGGCTGCGAAAGCAGAACTTCTTTTGCAGGTTTATTATTAAGATATTTATGCTTTGCGCTTATAAGGCATAAGGTATATAAGGCACTTCAAGAGTCATTTCAAGCGGAATGCAGAATTACATGAATATCATTGATGTGATTTCGTTGCTGAAATCAGCTTTTTACAGGATCACGCATATCATAACCTTATTTAGTGTGTGCTGATTTCAGAATTACATCGTCGTTTTTGTATTATTTGTGTTTTATATTCCGTATTACTCTAGATGGATGAAATGCGATCACAAATAGCTGAAAAAGATTTGCAAATTGAAGAGCAGAAATTAAATATCAGTTCCTTGGAGCAAAAACTTTTTGATGGACAAAAAGAAAAAATTATAGATGATTTGCGAGTAAATATACAAGTCATATCCAATGAAAGAGACATGAAAATGAATGTTAGACTTTTTTCTATATGCAACATTTATTGATTGTAATAAGTTTAGGTGTGGTTATACCGTAAATTGAGTGTCACACAAGTAAAGAAAGTGCTCGTTGTCTTCCTTTTTGGGATTGGAGTTCTAAAGCAGTTTTATAATATGTAAACTTCTAAAATCGATTGTTTATAATCGGGAATTTAGATTTGTCTTTCTAGATTATCTCAACGTTGCAATTTCTACAAATTACATTTTTCTACTTTAAGATGCTTAAGATGGAAAATGGATTTCTTCTTTAAGAGATTTAAGATGAATAAGTTTAGAAATAGATATCTGCTACATTTTCTCACTCCAGATAATTTCAGAAGTGCATTGAAATGGAAACCGAACTGAATTCCCTGCGTATAGATGTAGAGGAAACAAAGAAGCAATTAGAATCACGAAGTCAACAAATCATTTCATTACAAAGTGAATTGAAAAATGTGAATGCTCATAATACACGTTTGCGAGGTGATCACTGTTCGTATGAAATTTACTTGGAGTCTGATGCACATTAGGAGAAAAATTGCTCTGCTAATAGTATTTGATTTATCATTCAAATTTCTATGAAAGGATTTTTTTCAGAAAGCACTCAAGTCATTGAGCAATTAGAAAAAGAACGAAAAGTATTGTTACATGAGAAGGAGAATTTTGGAAAAGAAGTGGAAAGATTGCGACAAGAAATTGTAACTCTGCAAAAAAATACAAATGAGGAATCAGCGAAAGCCTCAGGCAAGTTTAATTGAGGAATTTAAAAATCAAGCAAAGTTACTTGATGATTTTAGTATACTTATGGCACTTTATTTGGTTCATAAACGGTGTTATAGCGAAAGCGGAATCAGATCGACATCGACTGCTGCGTGATTTGCAAAAAGAAATCAAGCAGTTATATCATGATTTGAATGAACGGACACAACAGTTAAATGAAGCGCAATCCAAACTGCAGGTGCGCTTGCTATTGGGGAATTTTGAATTAATGCAGTATTTTTTTTCGCATATATTATCATATATAATATCGGGCTCTTCAAAATCGTTATCAAGCCATTAATTAATATCCAAAGAGAAGTAATGGATTCCAAGTAATGAATTGCTGATATCAGAATTTCATGACTGAAAGTAGTCAAAATGTCAAAAGAGCCCTGCTATAATAGATTTTCAGGAACTATCAGCCAAAAAAACTGAAAATGATGAAATTAGAGATATTTATACGGAAAATGATCACAAAACAGATGGGCAAGCCGAACGTTTGAGGACTAATTCAGAATTCATTGAGCGGACAGTATGTTATTTATTGAGCTGATCGAAATTTTTATGTTGATAAGTTTATCCGGTTTCTAATTTTATGTCATCATATTAATTCAGGCTGCCATTATTCTTCATCAGTTGTAATTATTTTGGCTTCTTCACTTCATTCTTTAATTTTCTGTCCTAGTTGCAAAACCATAATTTTTAAAACTACACCAGAGAAAAAGTTCCGGGTCTCGCTCCCTTACTCTAATATTTGTTGTGATATTCGTAAAAAAGTGATGGTGACACGTATGCATTAATTATAGGACTATGAAGAATTATGTGCCTTACGCGAACAAGTGGCAGAATATCAGAAACAATTGGAAAATACTAAAGAAGCCCATAAGTGAGATTATTTTTATTACCCTAAAAGTATCATATTATATATTTTTCTTTTCTTTACAGAAAAGAATTAACACTGTTATGTGCGAAGGCATCGTGTACTGAACAGTTTAATATTATTGGTTTGGAATCAATCACTAATGGATCCACCTTGGTACATTTACTATTTTTTGGTTCAGAACTTTGCTTACTTGATTCTTATTATTGTTAAAATACTATTTCATTTCACCTAGCTGTTTTTTCTCTTTTTTTATTGTAATACTTTTTCTTTTACTTCGAAGAATATTTCATTGTTTTTAGAGAGATAAAGAGGATATGAGTGATGGCAGTGTTATCTTTGCAGAACCTACTGAAGCTGAAGTTAGTTTATTTTTTTATTAAATTATTTGGTAATAAATTTCAAAGTTGAATTAGTTTTAGCTAGCTACTGTTGCACAGGACTTTTTTTTGCGACCATATTTTATTGGTATGACATGACTCTATTATACACGCTAACCGTCGTTTAGAAAATGAAGCATTCATTTATACGTAATTTATGATTTTAATGCTTGTTTATTTGCATACAATATGAAGATAACTTATCTTTCAGTATTTGAGAAATGTATTGTATCGATACATGAATGAGCGAGAAACACTGGGCAGGGAGAGTGTTGTGAGTTTTTTTTAATTTTTGCTGCTCACGAAAATTTTATCAGATTTTACGAAATGAAGTGTTAATGTACCTGATTTATAAGTTTTATTAGCAGTGTGGAATATATCGTTGATCAAGATCTATTTGCATTCATAACATACTGTTTGCAGTATATATTTTTGTTATATACTTAGGTGTAGTATCGCATTTGTGCAATAGCGCCATCTTGTACATGTAAAAACATTCAGGCTTTGAATTTTAGAATTTATAATAATGAGTAGAACAAAAAAATTTATGACTTAAACAATAATATCTCTTATAGTAAAATTAAATTTTTTGAGTGTATTTTATTTGATGGTAAATCATTATTTTTTTTTCCTTGAATTGCTTATACTATATTAACTTATTTGAAATTATTGCTGTAGACACTGGCCCGAGTGATTGCAACGGTAGCGAGATTTACACATGAACAAGTGAATGCAGTGGTGGCGAAAGAGGAACAACGGAATCATGGTTGGGTTGGAGGTACCGTACAAGGCCTTATCTCTTCCGCTGCAAATCTGTCCTCTCGCTAAAACTTTTTTTTGTATCTTTATTTTACTCAATGTGCCCTTTCTATCATTAATGCTTTTTCAAAGCTACGTTTCGATTAAAGATCTGCGCTTTAATGATTGCGTTTCCAATTTTTCAGTCTGTTGGCATATCTTTTTTTTCTTATCTTACCTGTTAGAATTTATGACATAGATCATGGCAGTGAAGGACATTTGTCACCGAAAAGCAGATATTGCATTGTCATGAACGATAATTTTCTTTTAATGGAGCTTTGCTATTATTTTGGTCCAGATTTTCTCATTACTATGATGAAAATAGTGGTTGCATGATACTTTTTTAATATAATTATTTCTGATTGCTCACTATTAATACTTGATTTCTTGTCATTTCTTGAATTTTATAATTGTAATAACAATTTCTTCAAATATTTCATGTCTAGTTCTGTGATGCTTCCCCTCTTCATTACATTTATTTTCTAATATGGACTCGTTTTTTTCGATAAGCAATTAAGTTAATGCCGAATTTTTCTTCACTTTCACATAGTTAATGAAGAAGCAAAGAATGCTCCGTAATTCAGGATAGAATAATTTTGTTTCCACACATTTTTTACCTGATGAGTACATGCAAATGGCTACTAACTTGGTTGTACGTGTAGTTCACCATTTTATTTTTATTTTCTTCAGATTCTCACAAAAACTATTTTATGTTTGTGATTTTTTGACTTTAATCTTTTTTAAAATAATTTCTTTCTTTCTTTTCTTTTTGATATTAGTAGCCATTTGAATGTACTCCCAAGAATACTTATTTCTAGTCTGAACTATTTCTATGACTTTCATTTTTCCTTTTAGTAATTGATGCATTGGCAAATGACAAAAGTAGAAGTACCGAAGTGATCATCTCTTCTTTCATATCTTTAGGTTAATATGCCATTTTATGGTACTTTTTTATTGTGAATTTTTGTTTTCTTGCTTCAGAGTCTCATTTTTAGTTTTTCAGCTAACTAAGATTTTTCTACATGCCAGAAATGTGATATTTTTTCAACTGTTTGTGATATTATTCTTTTAAAATCTTTGTGATATTAGGCTGCAATTTTTTCGAGAATTCTCATTTCATGTTATGATTGCTTTTTGCAGTTATTTCCAATTCAATATTTACTGTGCATTTCTTATTGCATATCGCTTATAAATGTATTCATGTCATTATCATTGTGATAGATCGATTGTCCACATGCGCACGGGATTTTCCAGTCCTATGCCTATTCTTCATAGGATTTTTGGTAAATGATTCCAGAAATAATTTAGAGATAAACTTAGGGCTTCTTATTCGTTTACCGTTAGTAGATGATCATTAAGATATTTTCATTTCCTAAAAATATGAAACAAATATGCTTAAAATAATTTTGAATCTTAATTAGAATTGCAACTTCACACTTTCAGTGATGAAGGCTATAGTGCGCCTGTCGAAATGCTTCTGGATTGCTTCCCGGTTTGTTAAATCGGAAATAACGCATGGCAGAATCCATTTTATATTTTTGGAAATATTCGGTATTCTATTATGCATGCATCTATTTCTCTTTTATGTATTCTCTGAAATAGCTCTAGTAATGGCAGTGATAAGATTATTTGTTATGATATATTGTGGAATACTTTTGTGAAATGAAAATATCATTTTGATAAGTTGAATTAGTAATCAGTTTCCTCGCTGATTTTGCTAGTTTCTACTTCTGATATACTTTTTCGTTCTTTGGGATATTAAACAGTCAGTGACGCAACAGAGTGATGATGATCTTCTTACCTGTCTCCTTTGCATTTGTTTCTCAGTTTACCTCCTCCAAAGCCCTTTTATTTTGAATGACTTTTTTTGTTGTTGTACAGAACGATCTGTTAGTTTCTGAAATATCCTTTCAGTAAGTCAGCATGCCGGTTGCATCACTGTCTTGTGCATGTATTATATTTTGTTTGTGTTTCAAGAGCATTTTGAAGGAAATTTTTAGTAGAAATTGGAGAGTTGTGATATTATAATGATATGAGAGGATATCAGTACATTATTCAGATTCGAATGGTACTTTGGTTGTTGAGCGGTTCAGCCCGGTGTTAAGTTGCCTCAAACGGAGACAGCTGTGAAGAGTTTATTGAAAACAGTAGTGATGCTCTGGATTTTTCATAAGGATTCCTTGGGAATTGATTTGTTTATTTATCCTTCTTTTTCAGTGGTTATTTATTAGATCTATATTTATTAAATATTGTATTCCTTAAAATATATTTTGATATTTGATCACTATTATTATTGTTGACATGAGATTAGGTTACTATCACGTGCATCGATCAGACAACTCATCTTTAACGAACAAAATTTATCGACCTTCAAGTCGGTTACAAGCATGTTCTATTTTTTTTTCTGGAAATATATTTTATTATTAGGAGTTAATCATAATAAAAATAAGTGCATTCAGCCGATGACAGATATTTGATGTGCTGTTCAAAAGAAGTTAGAATTTAAATCGATTTTAATAGCAGAAGTTAGAATTTAAATCGATTTTAATAAAATTGGTACTCACTATTTAGTGTAACAACTGTGTGTATTATCTGCAGTGTTTATAACTACAGTTGATGTTGCTATTCATTTATATATCTATTTTTTAACACAATCAAGCCTGATGGCGGTACTGATTTGCTTGCTCATTATTTGATTACATCAAACAAAAAATTAATTATGGATTCTAAGATTTGTCATTTCAACAGTTTTTTTTTTTACCACTTTTTGTTTGTAAAAGTATGTTTATACAGAACGAGACGATGCTAATTAAGATATTGAAGTGCTGAAGTCTCATAGTTTAACAGTAAAAGATGTCATGAATTGTTTGTTACACTATCATATGTATTATCATGGATTATCACGCTATCATAGATTGGTATGCTTACCTCCAAAAAAGTCTGGTAAGGTAGTGTATACATCTGAGACAGAGAGAAAATGCAACTTAGAATTTGTTTCTATTTGTTATTCATAATGATACTTATTCGATATGGACAATCGAATTATATTATAGTTATTTAATTTTATTTGAATTTCAATAGAGGTGATATTATCGATTGATAAGATGAGGAAAGATGTCGGTGACATCAAGGAAGGTGTACAATTTGTTGAACTATCATCGGGGCATTGTTTGTACTATGTTGATCAGGCTACAGTGGACAAGAATGTGAAAGAACGAGGATATCAAGATAATCCATCATTGGAACAGATTGCTTATTCTGATCGTATTATTGGTATTTATGAAGGTGAATCGCAACACTTTTTTTGATTTATGCTTCGAATTTTGCATCACTTCCTCATTAATTTTTCATGTTTATGGGGATCATGATAGTGAAATTTGAATTATGGAAAATCATCTTTTTTACAAATTGCTAAATTAAATTACCGCTGCTAGGGATGCTGAAGCTAAAAAACCATTCTATTTAATGTATGTTTGCAGGTGGATTCAAAGTGTGGGAAAGCGCTATCGACCTATGCGAATACATAGATAAAGTTCTGGAACCACATATTTTGAGGGACAAAAAGATTCTCGAGGTGGCTGATTAATTTGAAACATTTAGTCGAGACTTTAATTTTACGTCTATTTTTTGTGGTTGATACCAACATTTTAGATTGGGTGTGGCGCGGGATTACCATCAATTTTGGCGTTGCAGAAGGGTGCTAAGGAAGTCGTTTTGCAGGATTATGTAAGTTCTTTTAAATTAATGTGTATCTCATAGAAATAGTTCACCAATGCACAACAGTATTTGATTTTATAGAATGATATTGTTGTCAGTTGCTTTACAAAGGATAATTTCACGGTCAATAATGTAAGCTTGGAGAATTGCCAATTTTATGCCTGCGACTGGGCCACATTGCAGCAGAAAACAGATGGTCAGAAGTAAGTACAGATCTATTTTTTTATCCTGGGAACATTTATGCCGAAAAGTATAATGTCGTGATAAGACACATTTTAATTGTATTCTAAAATTGTACCAAATATTGGTTGATCCAAGGTATGTTTATTCTACCTTGAACTAGTTAGTATTTGGTATAATGTTCTTGCTTTACTGAAAGCGAACTGTTATAACTTCCGGATGTAATAAGATAGTTTATTCGGATTCGAAAAAAAGGATCGTGGTAATTTTCTTGTTGTTGAACTCAAAGTTTTCACATTTTATTCATGAATTTTTTCCTGTCGTCACGGAAAAAAAACAATAAAGTTATTGTAAGGAAGAGAAAGGAATTAAATTGAAAGTAATAGAGGGGAGGTTCAGGAACTAAATTTAAATGTTTTTTTTCTCCTCCTAGTCTTTGCTATTTTGATAAGTTTACAGTGCAATTTTAACGACAGAATATTATCTAGGAAGGTTGGCGATTATTTATAAGTAAAGATGTGATTTAGTAACTGTTTAACAGCGTTAGTTCTAAATCAGTAATGAACTAAGATGTTAATATGATGCGTGGAACTTGTCAACATAGGAGTGAGTGCAAGTCTATCGAAGCATTCAGAGATTGGAGAGAGAAAGTTTCAATGAGAGAGACTTTCCAGCATAGCTAATTTCTTTTTTACTTTTATTGCTGAATAACTGCTAACATTCCGATCATTATGACGTGTAATCAAGTTTACAGCTTTGTAACTCATTTAAACTTTATCACTTTATTGTGTTCGATTGCCATTATATTTTTGAATCAGTTTCAAGGAAAATAATTTTGCACATTGCTGATAAGAATACTTTATCAATCATTAACGTGCAAAGAAGCTGATTTTCCTCCATGCATTTTGATAGATTTGAACAACTTTAATTGAAACGGTTGACCAAAATAATCCACTAATATTTATCTAAGAGCTATTTTGTTGAGTACGATATTTATTGCTTTCAAAATAATCCAGCGGAAGGATAGAGCAATGATTTTTTTGCTCTGTGATTTATTATTTTTATTTCTAGATTTTTTATTTCGCCCCATTCACGAGTGGAAAAACTTTTGAAGAGGTCATGTTTAAGGTTTGATGTTATTTTAACTTCTGAAACGATCTACAATGACGAACATTACGAGGTTTTGCATAATTTGTTTGACGTTGTTCTTCCACCCGATGGATTAATGTAAGTAACTTATAAATTAACATTTTCCAAATAATTTTCAGTTGCTTCTTCCGAATCTTCAAGGATATAGAGATTCTGTTCCCATTTAATCAGTTCCGAATCATTCGATTTTTTTTTTCATTTTTGTCAAAAAGTGAAATGAATAAGTTTTATTCATTCGATTGATGGTCCTCTTACTCTATCCGTAATACATACTTTCGATCAATATTTTTTAATATGATCGTATTTTTCTTCACTTCCCATAATTTACAAATTTCAGTTTGCTAGCAGCAAAGATGTTTTACTTTGGTGTTGGTGGCAATATACCAAGCTTTTTGGAATATGTGAAAACACGTGGCATATTCGATACATATATATGTTGGAGTAGCGAAACTGATGTTCCACGAAAGATTATACAATTGACTCGAAAATTTTGTTCCTAATTGAGAATATATGTACATAAATTTTGTAAAGAACCATTTTTATCATTCAAATATCCGAATGTATCATTTCGTATGATCTTTCTGTCCTACAATCTTTTCATTTACTGTTTTATCAAGTTCCTCTACTACCATCTCTCTTTTCAAACGCTTTATCTATTTTTTTTTGTTCGGATATCCTGGCTTATTATCAGTACCTATATTCTCATTCATTACACTTCACTTCTCTATCCATCATTGAGCAATATGGGAAGTAATCGATGAAAAAGCAATTCATCAGCTGTGGAGAATATGGAGCCAACAGATACTGGTGCAGTTATTCTCTTTACTGCGTCGCAATCTCTCTTGATCTTTCCATTTTTTGTTGTTTTATGACGAAAATTAATATAACAATAGCATGATGAGATTATTTCAATAAAAAGTTTAAATAAAATGAGACAATTTCTGAAATCAAGTCTATTGACCAGTTAACTATTGTAAATTAAGTCTATTAATTGGTAAACTATTGTGAATGAAGTATATTGATTGGTAAACTATTGTAAACAAGCCTGACCAACTGCTCTGTTTTTTGGCGTATTAGCTGATTGTTTCAAAAATTTCAGGTAATTTGATTGAAGAATAGATATTTTTAAAATTTCTTGTCAAAAATAAAATATACATTTACTCTCCAGTATTTGTCTAATAATCTCTTTATGTTTTGTCACTACATTATGTGGTTAATATTGTCGTTAAATACATTAGCAGTTTCATCGACAAACTATGCAATTGAACAAGAACTAAAATATTAATTTTATTCTGATTTTTCTTTTCCTTTATCTTATTATAGTACTGATAGCAGTTATTTTCAAGAAAAATAGGTATATTTAGTAAAAATTAGTTGGTGATGGAATAAATTAAATACAGCATAATCAAAATTCAAGAAAAAGTGCACTATTTTTTTTTAGAAAATTAAGTGAGAAAAAAATGAAGTTGTTGTGAAATGTCAGTTTGGGATTTTGTTTCCGATTGGTGGTCAGGTGTGGTTATGGATCGGTTAGATATATGCTAGTTGGATTTGCTTTCCTATTTTATTTTGTTTAAAGCATCAACTAAACGTCTGCATCTTTCTCCTTGCTCTTTTTTTTTGAATTTGATTAGAATAATATATCAAAGCTAAATACAAATTTTATAAACGAACGCCAGTATTACACGATGATTATTTTGTGTGGAAAAGTTCTCGATTCGTACTGATGCAGCATGATTAAACTTGAATGGTGAACTGATTGGGGAATTTGGTTTATTACATATAGTAATAATCCAATAAGAATGTACAGTAAATTAATCGATTGCTATTTCATTAGCCTTATCAATGGATATCATTGATAACATGTTGATACTTTAATATCAATGGCTTCTTTGTTAACTTACTAACTGACATAAGTTATTTTTGTATTTCCACAAGATACAATTTATCATTCTTTACTAGTATGAATCGAATTGACTTTTAATATTTTATGAGTCTTTTTTCTGTAAAAGAATATAATTATCTGTTTCATTTAATTTTTAAAAAGACTATTTCGTTTTTGACAATTAAAAAATTCGATCATTTTTGAGAGATATTCTACCATTCTATAGAAAGCTGCTGTGTAATGAATAATTATTTCCAAAAACATTTTAACCACTCCAGCACCTGTCAAAAGCAGCACTAGTTGGAATAACATATAAAGTGCATACGTGACAGATGAAAGTTATACCGAAATGCGATTAATCGTTTATGACACGAAGTACATCAAACAAAGATTAAATTATGCAAAAATAGACATTTCGAGCTGACAAGAGGCTATCAATTTGGCCTATTTTATTCTGGCATTTATAGCTGAATTGCATCTTCTGATTCCATTCCCGCAATAATTAGACCATCCCAATGTTTACCGCAAGGAATCTGATCCCTTTCGAGAGTACTCGATGAGATGAGCTAACATGGCGGTAGTGCTCACATTAAGCATTTCGTTTTGATTGCCTCATTGAGAGCGTATTTATGCAAATAATCACATCAGTGATTTGATAATACGATAATTCCGAAAAAATGAGTTGTGAAAGATAAATTTATGTTCAGATTCTAAGGATTCTTCTGTGCATCAGCGAATACATATTTCTATTTCTTTTCCCTCACAAAAAGCTATTGTATTTTTTGATTTTCGAAATATATTTTCATCTATTGAAATTGAAATGATTTTGCTATTAAATTTGTGTCGAAACGTGCTTCGAATCTTCACTTTCTGATTATGAATTTTTTTCACTGTTCTTTTTAGCATTATATTCTGACTGGAAAAAGAAGAATGAAAAATAGAATTGCGGAGGAATTCATAATTTTGAATTCGAAGAGTAAAATAATTTCACATAATGATCAGTTAAATTTAGACAAATTCATCTATAGTGCTAAAATAAAGTGAAAATAAATCAGAAATTTTTTTCAGGCTAAAAATGTTACTCATTCTACCTCTTCTATTAATTTTTGAATTCAAATTTGGAAGAGCGACACAAAGCAATGGAAATTTTCATTTGGATGAATTCCAATGGTACTTTCAATCAGCAAATGGCTCTATCCAAGGATCAGCTCGGGTACCTGGAGATATCTATCAAGATTTATTCGTTGCAAACTATATTTCTGAGCCACTGTTTGGCGAGAATGATCATTTGTTAAGATGGGTACCACGAATTGACTGGATTTATTATACCACATTTACTATTCCCAAAAATTGGAGCAATGTAAGTTTCAAGTTTCAAGCTAGAAAATATGGTATTATTTTGTGTCTTGTAATTCCTCTTCGTAGGACAATCAGGGGTCATACCATTAGAAAAATGTAGAAATAAAGGGAAAAGGATGTGATTACAATTATGACAATTAGCAAAAATGATTAATAAAATCAGAATTCTTTTAATTTTTTTTTGACATTTTAATTTTAACACAAATAACTATATTTTTTTTGTTGAAATTTGATGAAAGTTGACTAAAATTGAAGGTAAGAGGAGTGTTATTAAATGCTGGCGGATTCGATACCGTGGCCGATGTGTATTTTAATGGTGTATTAGTTCTCAAAACATATAATCAATTCGTTTCCTATCTGATACCTCTAAAACAATGGAACATTGGTAAAAATGATTTGCGCATCGAATTTAAATCGCCTATTAATTATGCGAAACAGAAATCTAAGGAGTATCAGGTTCAGTTTTCTCACTTTTATAAACTTTATTCGGTCATTTATCAGTTCAGCCGTATGTTTACTAGACTTATCAATTGCTGTCTATCAAACATCATCCAAAATTCCCAATCCCAAATTATCACGAAATCAAAAATTTATTAACTATTTTGTTTTCTCTGAGTAGCCATTTACTAAAATTACAAAATATTCAGTTCTTTCATTTATTGGATAACAAATAAATATGTTGGAAAATTGTGGCAACTTGAAAATTTTCATATTCTAATTTGAAATGATAATGCAGGAACAATTTGGTCATGTTGTTCCTCCCGTATGTCCAGTACCCGAATTCCAAGGTGAATGCCATATTAATTTCATCAGGTTTATCTCTTTCTTTCCTTATTCCAATCTTTATTTTAATTTAGAAAGTTTTCTTCCATATCTTCTAATTTGTTTTTCTCAGAGAAAATTGTGATAATTCACTGTTCTGAAGTAGAAGCATTTTGTTGTTCTAAAGAACAGACTATTAATTGTTTGTGAGAATTAATTTGAATTTAAAGTTTGCTTTGTAATTTCTAGAATTATTTTGAGTTTAAATTTTTACCTTTTTCGTTCCTTTTATTTTTTTGAAAGGACAACTTATTAATGGTGAACTTGAAATTCAAAAGTATTAGCTTGAGCAAAAACGATCAAAACTGCTTTGTGTATCGTTTATGAAGCTTTATTATTTCTTGGTTTACTTTTCAAAAATTCTTCCAGTACATGTAATTATGCCAAGTTGCTAATCTTGTAACTGGATCAGTTATCTACAATATTTACCATAATTATACAGTAGCACATTATAGCACTATTTGCCATAATATAAACTGCTATACAATAATATATTTAATTTTGTTAAATCTTTCACGTATTTTAATAATTGTAAACCAAATTGAATAAATTGTTCCATTTGGTATCAGGATATTGTCTATATACCTTTGACAATAACAATGATAGTAACTTCGGCACCTTTTACAGAAAAGTGCAAGCAAGCTTCAGTTGGGATTGGGGGCCTTCATTTCCAACAATTGGCATTTGGAAGCCAATATCTATCGAAGGCGTGGAAGCAATATTTGTAGACAAAGTATCAGCAGTAGTCTCATTTAAAAGTTATTTCATTCCTGTCAATATGATTATTTTACACAAAATACAATTTTAATGATAGCATAATGGAATAAATTTTAAGTAATACTGCCTATACTATTTTGTTTAATTTAGTTATTGATTGAAATGTTAATGATTATTTTCCTATTCAACTAATATTTTACAGTTTCTTTTTTATTTCGAATTTTATATGTTGCAGAGGAGCAGCAGTTTATCATTTCGTTGAGAATCACAGTATGGAGTGCAATAAAAGTGAAATATGCGCGAGTGACGCTATCATTACCTGAAATTTCAATCACGGATCGCTTTATCACTTCATTTGATCGGATGAGTCAAAATATCGCAGAACGAAGAATTTCAGTGCCTAATGATGCTGTAGAGAGATGGTGGCCAAATGGCAACGGCAAGCAAAAACTATACAAATTGATTGCTTCAGTATTTTATAAAGGTCATGAGAGGCTATTTAACCCTTCCAAAAAAATAATTGATTTCCATATTGAAATCAGAATTAAATTATGACGAAAGAAACTTACAGCTAACCATTTCATTACAAGTTTGCTGACTGATTAAAATAGTTGAATTAAACGAGTATACCATGGATGTTTAGGCTGATATGAATTCAGGATAGAGATATTGGATATTTGATCGTCATCATTAATATGTTGTTTGCATTAATGTGAATCATTTTCAAATTAGTCAGAGCTTATCACAATAGAATGATTCATTTGTTGATGATGATAACTCTTTGAATGTTGTGTTTGATCATTTTTAGAGCAAAACTTTAGCAAAGAAATACGAGTAGGATTTCGAACAGTTCAGCTCATTCAGGATTATGTGAATAGCGAAAAACCCACACAAGGAAGACATTTTTATTTCATGATCAACGATAAGCCTATATTCTTTAAAGGTTGTATTTCAATCCTTGCAAAAATAAATGAAATGAGATTTTTAGTAATTGCTATTTTGAATAATTAAATAGGTTTTCAAATAAGCTTTTTTGAAGCATTATTACAAAAAAGTTTCATTCAAATAATTATGACACTTCGCTATACTTTATGCTTTTCATTTTAATTTTAATTCCTCATTTTAATTCCAATGTCATTTAATCAGAATCATTTTAATTTCAAGTACTCAAATTTTAGGCTCAAATTGGATTCCATCATCAGCGTTTCCAGCTCGCAATCATCGTTTCAAAGAGAAATTTTTGCTTGAGTCAGCGCGTGAATCGAATATGAATGTATTACGTGTATGGGGTGGTGGTCGCTATGAAAGTGATCACTTTTACGATTTAGCCGATGAACTGGTTAGATAAACAGTAATGCATGAATATTTGTCCCAATCTCTTATCGTATACCGTTCACCTATTTCAGTTGTAGCCAAATCTATGGTTAATTTTAATGAAGTGTTTAAGTAAACAACTTTGAGTTAAATCGTACATTACATCTACTTTTATTTCATTTCTGTTCATTCGATTACGATGGAATGTATGCTGTGCGCGATTATGGTGATGTCAGTATTGCAGGGATTAATGATATGGCAAGATATGATGTTTGCATGTGCATTATATCCAGTTGATGAGAGATATTTGGATAATGTTCGAGAAGAAGTATATTCTCAGGTTATTGCTTCAAATAAAATTAATATTTCTGATAAAATGCGCTTACTTATGACATCTGAAGCAATTTATTACAGGTGGAGCGACTTCGACATCATCCATCTATTGTAGTTTGGGCCGGAAATAATGAAAACGAATTAGGTGTTCGTCAGTGGTTTTTTGCGGAAAATTACTCTCTTACTGATTCGGTACTTCATAATTTAACGATTTTTATAGAACAATGAATCAATTCCGTAATGTTTATTTTAATAGTTTCATTTAGATATCCGATATTGAAGTTACTAAAATGAAGATAAAAAAGATCGAAATACGTTCAATTTTAAAAAATTTTTTCTTAGTTCCTTATCCTATATATTCTCTGAATTCAAATGCAATAATTAATAGGTATCAGATTACATGAAGTTATACAATGAAACAATACGGCCAATCATTACCAAACTGGATGGTACTAGGCCATATCTATTGTCCAGTCCAACAAATGGAGTGGAATCTGAAAAGTAGCTATTATGGTTACTGCAGTTGTTGTAGAAATTACTTAGGAACTGCTTTATTTGTAATTAATCACAATTGAAACTATAATTAAAATGCCATGTTGAAAATTCTGTTCTAGAGAAGGAGGTGTTGCAAAATATCCTGCCGATGAGAAATACGGTGATATTCACTTTTACAATGAATTAGATGACTTATGGAAGGATTCAACTTATCAAATTCCACGATGCTCTTCTGAATATGGTGTACAGTCGTTTCCAAGAAAGTAGGAATGCTTCTGCTCAACTTGTTTTATATACGGTAATAAAGTGTTGAAATTTAGGAAGCTTTTTATTGTTTATAAGAGGACACTAAAGAAATGATATTAGTTATCATTACTTCGTGCTGTGTATTGCTTCTTCAAAAGCTGAGATAATAACCCTTTTTAATTGACGTTTATTTTTGTCTATCTCACATGGACTTCATTCCTTTTTCTTTTTTATTTCGAGTTATAAAATCCTACTTTAATTAAAATAATGAAAGAGAAAGATTGGAAGAGAGGAAAGAAAGGAGTTCTGAAACTTTGATAATTTGTTATTTTTTAGAGAAACGATGTTGAAATGGTTGAATGAAACAGAATGGTCTTATACAAGTGAGGGAATGAGGCGTAGACAACATCATCCTGGTGGATTCTTGGCTCAACTTTCCATGATCTTTTCACACTTTAAAGTAACCTAAACTATTGTTTCTTCTTTGTTCATCTAATTTCATTATCACATGCTTATCTCTCATTTCATACTAGATATTATCGAGGCTATCTCAGATTCCAAGCAAAGTTCAAAGCATGGGAAGAGTGGCGAATGCTGATAAGATTTACCTATCAACTCATTTAGGAATGACTTTGAATTTTTTTTTTCATCTCATTTCTGAAAATATTGTGGGTTTCATCTATGTGTTGTGCGACAACAAATTAACAAATTCTGAAACATTCTAATACTGCAATACAGAAAAATAAAATCTCAATAAATGGAAGCGTTTTTAATTCTAAATGCTCAAGTATATTTTCAAATTTGATGCGCAAAAATTTTTGTGGAGTATAAGATGATAAGTACGAATATCGTTAGTAATCAATGTTAATTAAAGCAGATTTTATAAAACACGTTCAGTTGTAGATCCCGAATGAATGTGGAAAGGCAGTAAATGATGACTGTGTCTATTTGAGAACGGAGAAATTCATGGACCGTTTCGTATACTTGTCCCAGTTTCATCAAGCAATTACTTATCAAGTGCAGACCGAGCATTACCGAAGATAAGCTTCATAATATATTCTACTTTCTGCTTTGCCTCTTATTATATTGCTTCAGTCGTTGTTCTATTTAGCAATGTATAAAGTTATGGATATAGTAATACATATTTTCTAGAATGAGAAGATATATCCATAACTTTATACATTGCTAAGCAAAACAACGACTGAAGTAGTATAATAAGAGGAAAGTAGAAGGTAGATGAATGATGAAAAAATGTGTTGTTTTAGTCTTCTGTATATTTCAATTATTAATATCTCGATTTCTTTACTTAATTTTCTTCCTTGCAGGAAAGATAGAGGGGTGATCAAATGCTAAATAGGTGTGATATAAAGATAGAAGATTTCAGATGGCGTGGACGACTGACGGAAGATGGTCGTGGTAATACGATGTGCGCTCTATATTGGCAACTTAACGATTTATGGGTAGCACCAACTTGGTCAACAATTGATTACGAACTTTCATGGAAACCCGCCCATTATTTTGCTCGTCGATTCTTTGCACCAGTTATTTTTTCTCTGGTTGGTTATTAATTTTCAATCAATTTGTTCGATAACAAGTACGCATTATCATTTATCACACCAATCAATTCATCTGGAATAATCTACAAGTATAAATCAATGATTAGTATGATGCCATACTAATTACTGATTTATACAAGTAATCATATGATTTTGATTAAATTTAAAAGAACGAATTCGGAACAAAAAGAATTCTTTGATTCCATCTTGTCCAGCTATTTACACTTAAGAATGACTTGAAATTGCTTTGGATTTTGCAAGTTCAAGTAGTACTTATGAAATCATTTATAACGACTCATCTTTGGACATAACTCAGTTTTCATCTAATTTACATGGAAAATAAACTGAATAGTAAATTGTTGAAATTTTTATTTTTAATTTTTCATTGTTGTAGGAAGTAGACGATGACGTTCATCTGTTCATTGTATCAGATCTATTGAAACCGATATTTAATGTAAGAGTAGTTTTGGAAATTTTCTGGTTTGATCGTTTGTTTCCAGTTGATGTATTTGAACAAGAAATTAGTTCAATTTATCCGCTGTCATCCGTTGAGATCCCAATCAATGAAACAATTTCCAATAGAATAAGGTTCGTCTTGCACCATGTGATCGATTATTTCTGGAAAATTCCATAAAAATTGATATCTTTTAAACAAATTAATGCCAAAGATTGCTAACTGTACTTAACTGTTCTAAAAGAAAATGACAAACTGCAAGAAATGTGACAATTGTTTCATTTCATCGTTTTATATTCACACAGAGAAACTGATAAACTCAGAAAATATGATCGTCTTAAATGTGCTTTTCAAGCTGTTTGTTATTTTTGCAGAGAGAGAGGAAAGGATCGATCCATCTTGCGAGGAAGGATACTGTCAAATAATGGTACTCAAATTGGTTACGACACCGTGCACTTGCCTGATAAGCTATTTAAAGTAGGAAAGTTTTACTGTTAGTATATCTTTATTGTCTAGCTTATTTTAGATATATTTCAGATAGATGAAGTGAATTTCGGTAAAGCCTGGATTCGAGAACTGCACAGGAGGAATGATTTGTTATATGAGTTGAAGTTAAAAGCTAATAAATTAGCACCTTTCGTATATATGGAATTAGCTCCAGGCCTAATTGGATGGTTCTCCGATAATGCATTCACGATGACCGAACCAAGAAAAACTGTGGTATTATTCTTGTTCAAGGAACCTGGATATCAACTGACCAAAGATGATATTACCATTTGTTCATTACGCGATTGTGGAAAAACTAACATATGAAATTTATTTCTTTGTACATCGAGTTTATTCCCTAATAAGCCATCGTTTGATCATACATAAGCAGATAGGCCAAGAGTCATAATTTGTATCCTTGATGAGTCATGGAAATAAGAATGCTGCATCAATGACCACATACATTATTATGACCCTCTCTAAACTCTCTATGGCATTGCTTCCGGTGAGAAGCGATTCATGCTAGCAAGGACTTTTCGAAAGATGGTTGATGATAACTGCCGTAATGCTACTGCGCTGATTGCATGAACAAATTAATGATATTATGATCAGTGATCGCGCTAATGTTACTGTCAAGATGATCGGGATGATCGGTGGTAAGGTTGACAGCAGTGATATTGCCTATAGTCGAGATTTGATTGTGCATGATAAATATGCATAGATTGGCAATATTTGAATCAAAATAAACTCACAAACTCTACATCTGTACATCTTTACGACGATAATTGATCATTCTCCAAATGGAACACTCTATTTACTAGGCAAAATTAATGACATTTAATTTTCAACGAAGACTGAATTCTTGTCTTGTTTCGATTGACCTCTAGCCATAGGTTGAAGTAAAGTTACTCTATGCGTAAGTACGCTCCTTTGCTCCTTTTACGTGGAATATTTATGAAACACAACTAAGGGTGAATGCATAATGCAACTTAATCATTATCTTTTCTCTTCCCCCATATCTCTCAACATTTTAATATATTCTCTTCCATATATCTCAATATTATATCTTTTGGAAGATCATCCCTCCTTTCTCTCCCTCTCTCTCTTTCTTTGTAATGATCATTGAAATACGAATGTTTCTGAATTCAGAAATCCTGAAAGTTTCATCAATTAAACTTCATGTGCTTTAGAATTTATCCCGTATTTGCTTATTTTATGATTTTAAATGACAAAATTTACAGCAAGTTAAGCATAATATGCGACAAATCTTAAGTGATATTGCAACTGTTTAATTCAATCATTCCAATTTGATTGTTAAATAAATTAAACAAACATTCATGTCATTTAAAATGAAGTTTGAGTGATCTAAAAAAGACAAGGAGATAAAAAAAAGGGTAATTTTCCACTTTTCTTAATTTCCAATTCTTCATCTGTACACACTACCAGAGCATTACTTATCTTCACAATCTTATCCACTGGCCAACTATTTTTATTCCAAAAACTGAAATGCACCTTTAAACGACATTTTGTGACATTTTCAATTTTCCAAAATGAAATCAACAGCCTCATTAGGATTAGATCTTTTTTGATTAGAAATTCAAGAAGACTAGTGGTTGTAAACTTCTGGGATAAGTCTGTCACAGGAAATGAAGTGATCTTTTGTTTTTATTGAAAAAGGCATTCATTCTATGTGTAAACATTATGGTTAACTATTATGAAATGATTTCTTTGGATTCAATTTATGTCGAACTGATAGTGAAATGACCGAGAAATTATCTGATTTTTTTGATAAGAAAAAAACAGATTTTTTTTCTTAAAAAAAATCATCTTTTTATGGTTCCTCAAATTTTTTTTTCTCAAAAAAAATCATCTTTTTATGGTTCTCCGTGTAGCGGAAATATTTTGCATGAGTCATTTCTTCTCTTCTTTCCTCCACTCTAATGTTTTTTTTTATTTAATGATAACTGACTGTCTGACTAAAACCAATATATTTCAGTTTTCATCATGAACGAAATGTAATAGATCGAATTCTTACCACCATCAATTGATATATATATATATTTGAATTTCAACAAACCTAATTCGATTGTGTTGGACACCGACGATAAGGTCATCTGACCTTTACTCTTAAATTTGAGCCAAATTGCTGAAATCACATTAAATTAAGAAATGAATAATTTTGGAGAGGGAAAAAAATTCATCGCGTGAATTCCTTTCATTTTCTCTCTCTTTCTCGCGCATTTCAGCAGTTCTTTTTAATGATCAATGGTTAAGAACTGTGATGACCTTAACCCATATGGTTTCATTTTTCCCATTGTTATCTTCAATTGTCTAATTAGCTTATTTGACTTAATTAGCATGAAATGACCCATATCGTATTAATTTATATACGAAATTTCTTTTGGCTGAAAGGATAGATAAAGATAATAAATATATGCTTTCAATAATAGACGAATAAGCATAATCAGTGATTGACAGATGCAATAATAAATACACAACAGAAATGGGAAATTGAGCTGAGGCGGTCGGTACAAACAGAATCTCAGTAGGTGTCACTTCAGCAATATGCACCTAAAAATGAAGAAAATGAACCTTCCTCATTTCCTTCCCTACCAAAAAGATTGCTAAATATAAAACTACAAATACATTTACAAAAAATAATAAGATTTAAATTAATTGAACTGATGTCAATCCGGAAAATGATAAACGATTTTTTTTTTGGCGTGCAAGGTGAATAATATTAATGAAATGCAATATAAAAATTATGAAGCCAAATGGTATCATAAATGATTCGCTAACAATGAAAAAAGGAGAAAAAAACAATATTTTTTTTGCTTGAAAAATATCATTCTTTTATTTGTTTCACATGAGAATTATGTCAGCGGAAAAGTTTTTCAGCAATGGAGGAGAGATTTATTCAAGCTGATATTTTCGTTGAACATTTTACTTCACCAGTTATCGGATTTCGGTCTGAAATGTAAATCAAACTTTTACAATGTTATTCTTAGAACATTGAAAATTTTTAAGTTCAATTTTTCAATTTAAATATTAAATTTTTCACTCTTTTTTAAAAATTATTTTAAAAGATATATAAAAAGTTTTTTGAGGTCAGGAAAAAAATTTATCACCAAGAGGTTATGATCACAGACATGAAGATGCCCTTGAAAGCACTGAATATTACTGGTAAAAATGAGAATAGATGTTGAATTAACTTTACACTTCTTGACTTCAAAAAACATCACCATTCATGCGTGTAATTTCAATCAATCAAGAACTATGCCTTTTTTTTCTTTGGTTTTAGTATGTCAATATAATTTATGAAAGCGATAATTTTTTAGCAAAAAAATTTAGTGATTTAACAATTATACAAAGAAGTAGGAATTTCTGTAATAGTATGATTCAATCGATTATCCGGATTTAATTTAATGAAGTTAATTAATATTTTTTACTTTATTTTTCATCCCCTCTTATTGGTTAGCCCTTTATTTGAAAAGAATTATTTACAATCGACATCAAGATTAAAATCGAGAATTTTGATAACGATCTCTATGAACATATACGGTAAGAGAATTTTTAGGAAATAGTGGCCTGACAATAGATCACTTTATGGAATCATGTATTTTCTCAATCTTTTGTTCAACTTGCTTGTTTTTGTAAATAGTTGAAGTTTAGTGTTCTAGGAAACGGTCTTATCATAACTATTGTACAAGTAAAATTACTTGGTAAATTGTAAACAAATAGAGAAAATACCGTCAGTCAGACTGGATCGAACAACTTCAAGACTAAACGAGACGAGTTCAACTTAAGTGACATCGTAAAAGAGATCATTAGCATCTGTTATATAGCGATACTGTTAATTAATCAATCAGTCAGTTTTAATAATATAGCATTTGAAAGTATTTATTTTTTTCAAAAAAATTGCATTTCTTTCAAAAAATGCAATTTTTTCTGAAAAAAAAATAAAAAATTGCATTTCACTTTTTAACGAAAAATGTTTAGTTCATATTTGTTACACTGCTGTGATCAATTAAAAAATATCAAATATTGTCTTCCAAGTGACACGTAACATTTCATTGCTAATTTAAGAGTCCTTCTGAATTTTTTACAAGAGTTATAAAATAATGAATGTTATATAAAATTTCTTCAATTTAAACGTTTTAAATGTCTGAAAAAAAGTGTAAAAACTAACCAAGCACAGGTATTGTCTTTTTAGGTGTTCGAGTAGGCGATTCAGATGCATTGTTCTCAAAAATTGATGATTTGAAAGTATTTGAAACTTTCTTGGAAGGTGTTACTTGCTCCGTATCCCCACCAAAGATACGATCACGTGTGTTTGTTGACGGACCGTTACGTTTAGGTGTCTGAAATTAATCAAATGCTCGTAAAAAAACGATAAAAAAAGTCCCTATCTATCATTTAGTTTATTCTGTTTAAAGAGTTGCATTTGGAATAAGTAGTTAATATAGATTAAAATTAGGAAAATCATGTAAATTTTGAACTAAAAGAGACAAAATGAATTTTATATCATTCTTATTAAAATGAAAATAAGGTAATTATTTTTAACTTCAAAATTGAGTTTTTAAACGATAACGAAATTTATTAAATACATTCATTGGTTTCTCCATTCCTCTCTAACCTTCGAACTGACTTCACTTTTGTCCTTCTTTTTTTTCAACAAAACTATGTAAGCTTTCACTTAGTAATTATCAAATATTTACTTTTTCTACCTGTTTTTTCATCTCAATTATAATCTCTCAACAAAGTTAGAGTGAATTTTAAAACAGACTAAAAATTTCAGCACAGATTTGAGAGTCATATAACAAGCAATAAAGCGAAATAAAATTTCTCCCATTGACTTATGAAGTGATGAAAAGTGTAACGATTCGAATTACTACGTTTTTTCACTGTCTGCGAAATATACTCTCTCCTTTGTATTCCAAAAAAAGAAAAAAGAAAATCTCGTTTTTTAGATAGTTGAAAATGAGAAAATAGCAATAAAATGTACAGTTATTTTTAATGTCATTGTTTTGAAATGCGCCGCAAAGCTTCATGTGTATTGGTAGTTGCGGACTGACTAATAAATCAGTCAATTTTTTGAATTTTTAAAATTTATTAGCAAAAAACTTGTTTAGAATAAACTCATAGTTAAATCTGTATTTTGCGAATTATCATAGCTGTCTACTTTTTCTAAAATTTTTTTTTTGGAAAAATGCATTTATTGTTTTAGAAAAACCTGAATGAATATTGTTTTTAAATCTTTAATGCTGGCTACTTGATGGAATGGCTTTTTTTAGACATTTTTAAAATAAAATTTGAAATCATCAATA